TTTTACATCAAATTGTTTGACTTTTCAAATCATAATTATTCTTTGGAAAAAATGGCAGAAAATGATGTATAATACAGAGTAATATAAGTTAGATTTTAATTAAAAAAAATTGTTGGATGCATAAATTGGCGACACTGGATTATTGTAGGAAAAAACTGAATTAACTGAATGAATAAAATTTCATTTTTATAAAATTTCACATACGAGTATATTTTTTCATTTTAACATAGTGACACTCCGTTTGCGCGCGCACACACACATAATTCATTTGTACGATTATAAGACTTATATTAAATATAATGAGAAAATATATAACTAACATTTATTTTAATAATTTAATTGATAGTTACGAAAAATCGTCATTTAAATATTCTTTTTATGTGATCCTAAATCCTATACAGGAAAATACAGAATATGTTCTCTTAAATTTGATGCAAAATGATTCATTTCTTAATTTACAGTCTTCACGTTTATTCTTGATGTCAATCATCATCATTATTTCATTTTCATAGTTGTGGAAATAAAAGTGTGGGCACACTAACTATTTAAGGAAAAAACATAAATGCATCCCATCTATCTAGTTTGACCAATAATAATGATATGACTGTACAAATTGTTATTTAAGGAGATTTCATTCACCTAAAAGTTAAATTAAACTCACATAGAAATGGCTTCATCCCCTTCTGTCCGCTCAATGTCATATTATTTCATTTTCATAATAGCATACTATTCACCAATGTTTATTGTACCAATCGAATCCCAAAAAAGTTCACCATTTCTTAATATTCCTTTTCCATTCTTTACATTCCATCTCCCATCACATGATAATAATAATTATAATATTTTGCCTAAATCTTCATTTGATATTCAAAAATGTTGGGGTTCAATGGATCATGATATGGCAGTGTGTATGGTCGAGGCGAATGCGTTTCTGGGACGGAGTCTGCCTCAGGCTCCGAGGTTGACCACAACATGTTGCATGGCCTTTAAAGAGATGACTGATCGATGTGCTAAGAATGGGTTTGCTTTTGATGTCTTCATCCCTCCCTTGGTAAAGGAGTATTGTGGTTTTGGTCAATGAATGTTAAGTTACTCTATATCATTATGTGTCTTTTGTGGTACTTGGATTCAGTAATATCATGTTAAGAGGTAACTTTTCAATTCTGAAAGATAAAATTGCAAAGGTAATGTAATCACATAAAATAGTAATCTATTTGATGAGATAGTTTTATTTTATTATATACGATTATATAAAAGGAACTTTAAAATGTCACTCAATTTGCATTTATGGAATGGATGGAGTTTTATATTAATGATATCTTTATTTTGTGTTAAAGTTGATGCTATATTAACGGTTGTTATATGGTGGGTGTGACCCACGTTGAGCATCATGCCATCATATATTCATATATACTCCCACAATTAAAATGACATTTGATTTAAGTTTTAGTTAAATAAACGTGAATGAACATCACTCGTGTTGCTACAAACGTAATATCAACTATCAATAAGCGACAAATGTGATTCGTGCACTGAAGTATAACTCGTGTTACTCCCTCCAATGGATATTCTCTCATCTTTCATACATGAAGTGTAAATTGCGTGTATGTAAAATGTATATTTTGACAAGTCGAGATGTAAATCACATTAATTGAAATGTTACTTGCTGAGACAAATCGAAATGTAAATTGTGTCAATTGAAATGCAACTTGAGGCAAGTCAAAATGTAAATTAAATTACGTTAATTAAAATGTAAGTTGAGGCCGCAAGTCGAAAAAGTGAATCACGTTAAGTGGAAATTTAACTTGAGACAAGACAAAATGTAACTTGAAGGAATGTTGTAGGCCTTTAATAAGACTTCAGTTTTGAATTGATGGAGGGAGAAAAATCCTAGGTTTATTTTGAAGATGAAGAAAAATAAATTGCAGTTAGATTAATAAGATTATGATGGAGGAGAAGATATTTTATTCCATCATTTCCAATGGAGTCAAGGACTCACTATTTTTTGGTTTGGGAATATGATGAAGTAAAGTAACATGAGTCACTAAACTATTTGCTCTTCTTTGTTATGAAACATCAGTCTGTCCATGCAATGTTCGACATGATTTTTATAATAAGTCATCCAAAAACCGTCTCTCTGTCTCTCTTTTCTATATTACATGGATAAACCTGCATACATCCAACCACCTTACCCTACTGTAGGTGGGGGGGCCTTTGCGGCACTGAGGTAAGTTGTTGTTGTTGTTGTTGTTAGGAAAAGAAGATATTTGAAAGAAGAAAAGAAAAAGAATAAGAAAAAACCAGAATTTTGAAGATGAATAAACGAAATTGTGGTTAGATTGCTAATATTTTGTTGAAGGAGATAAAATAATTGAAGAAGATGAGAAAAAAGAAGAAAAAATCCGTAAAATTAAAGAGATGACCGGAGAGATTGACGGAGAAAAAGAATTGATGATTGAAAAGGACAAAAATGTCTGGATTCTTTTGTTTAATTCTTTTGTTCTACCACGTATATGATGTAATTCAATCATCACGTCATCATCATACTTTATTTTAACTCAATTGTTGATAAATCATGTTTCTATAATATTGTTTCACTGTTTTAAAAGTGGATGTAAAAAGTATCGTAATTCTTTCTACTACTCCATATATGACTTGTCAGGTTGTATTCTAGATGGAGATTTACATTGAAATTTGTAAGACAAAAATAGTGCATTACTGCATCCAAAATATTATCCTTTACTTGATATATTCAAAAATATATAAAATCATTACACTACGTAGTACAAGTATATTATTCTTTTATTCAATCAAATGCCCTTTAATGTAATTTTGTATTATCCAGACACTTCTTAGCTCCTTTTGCCAAACAGGTCTACCTCATTCAGTTAGTAGTTCAGATTCAACACTGCAAAGTTCAGCTTCAGACAATAAATTATAGTTCAAACATGAATAGCCCATATTTCAGACATTAGCCTTAGTTTCAACTCATTTGTGCGAAACATAGCCATAGCATGAATTTGAGATGAATATACAACCAATTGAGCCAAACTTACTGCCGCAAGTACAAAATAAATTTGTTTATTTGAAAATAAAGTTACTTGGATACGCAATATTTGTTAATGTTCATATGATGTATGATGGATGGACAAATGACTTTACTTTCACATTTGATAGTGTGAAGGCATTAAAGAGTAGATGCGACGTTCACGAAAAAAAGGATGACACCCCATCCCTGAGGGCCCCCCAACACCGACTGAACGGCACGATGGGAGGATGTAAATTGGACTATAATCACAATCTGACAGATAGAGAGTGGGGCTCTGTCCCGGTACTTGCAGAAGCCCTATGCATTTTTCAGCATAGTAACCCCTCATCGCAGTTGTCGGGATTCGAACCCGAGACCTAACCCTTGTGGCACTCCCTCGCTACCAGTTGAGCTACGCTCACTGGTAGATGCGACGTTCACGCTTTAGCCTTGTTGAGCCGAACTCAAGGGCCACATTTAAATTGTTCACTAGTTACGAGTTCATGTTAATTAATAGTCTGTTATTAGTTTTCATAGAATGATATTATTATAACTAGAGTTTCATCTTCTTCTAACCATTTTCAACAGAAAGAGGGAAATTATAAAGGAATGTAACCGTTATACAATGAGGTCCATTATTATTATAGGACTAATGCATGTGATGAATTCAAGTCATCAACGTATAATACTTCTTATGGAATTTGTTCACATGTTCAATATAGTCCTACTTACAATCTCCCAAACAAAGAAACTAACCAGTATATTGATTAAATTGGTCACATGAAAGCTGTATAACACTTAGTAACTTGAAGTTTGTATAACATATGAGACATATGTGTTCAAAGTGAACAATTAACAAGCATTGATTTTTATCACCTCTCTCACCTTTCAAATTACTAAGAGCATTGTATTTGGGCATTGCATATAAATTCATGAACTTTATAGGTCTTCGTGTCACCACAAATTATGAATTGTCGAGTGACAGTTATCTTTCAATCTTTCATCCACATATCTTTTAGTACTTCTATGTTTTCCATTTGTTTTTGTGGACTATCTCACGAAGTATTTCTAATTTTCTTTTAATCAAAACGGATATGATTCGAGAAGTGCCAGTTCACGGTCCCTAACATTGGTCGTCACATGTAGTCGGGATCGGAATTTTGGCATACTTATCTCGTTCTTAAAACCGATTATCGGATTATGGATAGTAGTTCGAATCCATTTATTTACCGTATTTATTTACCGTGTAGTCTAAGTTTAGAGGAACAGAACCGTGCCTAAGTTGACCTGATTCGAGTACTAGTTCCTGTTTGTTCCAATTAATATAGTCATGATTTAGATGAATTGCCAGTATTATTCTAATTTTTAATCTTGTCTAATTTAGTTATGGAATCACAACCCATCTCTTAAAGGAATTTGTAGTTTATGTCAAGAGTGGTCCAAGTAAATCACACTTCACACTTAAGTTAATCTTGTGAAATCATGGGAGTTCAATAATACTGTAACCAACTAGAATAACCTTGTGTTAACAAACAAAAAAGGATTTTGTAGTTTATATTGATGTTACCTTTATAATCATGCACACAATTATTTCATTACCAAGAAAACAATGTAATCTCAAAAAACTACTTGTACAACAAAATTTTTACACATTTCGGATACAATGTATGTAATTGTCTGTACATGTACAATTCTAACTGTATGTGCTCGTGCAGTATATAGACAAATTCGTACAAATTTTGTGTACGGGGAGAATTATTGATATCGTCCTCTCATCACATAATTAGCATCTGTTTTGATTTTGCACATAAATTGAAAATTATTTAGCCTAAATTTTATACGGAGTAGTTAGTATATGAGTGGTAATATTATCCTTGCTGTTAGCCAATCGACTTCAGCATTCTCTTTCACTGCCCACCTACCTACAAAAGCGATATATAACAGACGGACAGGTAACAAATTATGTACTATTCATATCTTCAAGAATTTCACTTCCTCCCATTATATTGTTTCCCAGCTTAGCACATTAAACCTCATCCCAATATCCCATACTCATTATTGATTCATCTGTTTATTTATTTACTTATTTATGACACTACTCCCAGTACTTGCTGATTTCCTTAACATTATCTCATCACTGTCTCAGCTTTTTTGTACACTCATTTAAACTCTTCATTCTAAAGTTGTTAACTTTCGCATACATTAGATTTACTATACAGATCTTGAACTTGCTAGCTAGCTCAGCTCCCTATAATGGGTCGTCACTCTTGGGTTTTGAGTACGAGGTTGTGTTTATGGTTATTTTGTTGTATATTTAGTTTGAGGTTCAACTTTGGGTGCTCAGAAGTTGTTGAAGGGACTGTGTTTGTGAACGGGAAGAGTGCCATTGCAAGAACTGACAGTGATTTCATATGTGCTACCTTAGATTGGTGGCCGGCTGATAAGTGTGATTATGGTACTTGTGCTTGGGACCACGCTTCTCTCCTAAATTTGGTATGTTGTGTTCTTCGTTAAATGCAATAAGCTTTCTTCTTGTTTAGATTTGTTTTTTGGTGTTTTGGTATGGTTTGGTGTTCTGTGTTTGCTATTATTTATTGGATCTCATATGCACTTGGTAGATGTTCTTGTTCTTGAAGAATCTTTTTGGGATTTTCAACTTTTGTAAATTTTTCCTTTTAGTAGGAATTTGAATTATAATTTGTAGCTTATATCCCTACATTTATAAATGGTGAAAATGGAAAAGAAAATATTTGCTTGCCTCAGCTCAATGTAACTTGTTTATCTACTTTTCTGTCGTGACATTTTCATGCTTTTTGAAGAGTTTGTCACAAATGAGCTAAGTATCAGGCTAGCACTTTTTAGTATCTAACAAGTCTTGCTTTTTAATAGTTCTTGTTTTTACTGTGTCATGTATTATTTTCCTTTTTCTGTTTACTTTTGTTCCACAATGTACACACATTTCACATTTGCATGTCTTTTTTTCCACTTGAATGTTTTATTAAGATCTTCTAAAATATCAAAAGTTGCAAGGTTTTCAATAACGTCCAAACTATTTTCAAAAAAAAAAAAATAACGTCCAAACTTTTCGTAGCCGAAGTCACTATGGAATTATTCTCTTTACTTTTAAGGGCAGAGGTAAGATGTGTGTATGTCTCACTCTGCATATCCTTGGTGGGACTTATTGAGTTCATTTGGTTTGGACTGGTTTTAGTTTTGTGGAGCTTGACTTGTTTCATGAATCCTAATAGTGAGGCAACAAATATGTTGAACCAGGCAGGCATTTTGCTGATAAACTTCAAGCTTATTAGACTTACTGTTTGTAAGGGAAGGGACTTGAATCTCCCCTTAATAAAAAAAAAAAAAAGCAAACACACATGACTGTTTCTTTTGTATATGTTTTGACGTTTTGTTCGTCTTGCTAAGTTTGTCAAGTACTGATTGTGCAGGATCTTAGCAATGTCATATTTTTGAATGCCATAAAAGGTATGGATTTGATGTTGAACTTCAACTCAGTTTCACTCTTATGTCTTCTCCAACAAACTATTGGATCCTTACAATCTCTAATGCAATTATCTATGCAGCTTTCTCACCGCTAAAAATAAGGTTGGGAGGCACTTTGCAAGATAACGTTATCTATGAAACTGAAGATCATAGCCAGCCCTGTCTTCCATTTGTTAAGAATGACACAGAAGTGTTTCATTTCAGCCAAGGCTGCCTACCCTTGTCCAGATGGGATGAGCTAAATACCTTCTTTAACAAATCTGGGTAACGATTGGTCTTCCTTGTTCTACTATTCAATCAGTATTATATTGTGCTTGGCGTACAAGTAAAAACCAATTATGATAGTTAATGTCCATTCCAGTGCTGTTATTATTTTTGGCTTGAATGCTCTCAACGGACGAAGATCAGCAAAAACTAATGAAGCTTGGGATTCAACTAATGCTGAGTCTTTGATCCGATATACGGTCAAAAAGGGGTACACCATCCACGGCTGGGAGCTAGGTTAGGAAAGCTTTTTATTTTTATTCTTAAAAGTATGTTTTGTCTGTTTAAAGAGCTTGAACCTGTGGCTAGGTGAATAGCAAGTAGATCCTCCACCATCACCTATGTTAGTTCCACATCAAAGAAACATTATGAGAAAATAATGAGTTAACAAACATCGGGTTGCACTAACTAATAGATTGGATGTGATCTTTTAGCGCGGTTTAGCGTAATTGCCTTGTTTTCCAGTTGAATAACACAATCCTTAAAGCTTTGAGCAATAATGCCTTTTTCAATTTTCGCATAACAGTATTACCTTTCATATTCAGGAAATGAATTGAGTGGAAGTGGAGTGGGGGTAAGCATTAATGCAGACCGGTATGCCCATGACACGATCCATCTGCATGACCTAGTGCAAATTATATACAAAGACATAGAAGATAAACCACTTATTCTAGCACCAGGAGGATTCTTTGTTGCAGACTGGTACCAAGAATTTGTAGACAAAACGCACAACGCTGTGCATGTGATCAGTCACCACATATACAATTTAGGCCCAGGTATTTCATTAGATATAGTATATATATACATATTACATGCTAACAGCTTAATAATGTGTTCAAATCCTCAAAACAACATATTTACGCAAATAGGGTCAGGCTGTGTACTTGGGGGCTTCCCCTGGACCTTAATGCAAACAGGTTAAGTCATCCTACACCGGCCAAACAAAAAGATACAAGCTCTCATATGAGTTATTAAGCTGGTCCTTTTAGGTTGACCATTTAGGTATTGTACCTAATTTTTAATATATTCCGTACTCCATAGTATGATACCTACTAAAGCTCAAATGAACAATCCCACACCTATTGAGCATAAGCATATAGATTGACGTATTAGTTATGTAACTGCTTTTATTAGGTTGACATTTTAAGATAGTTGTCCATGTATGGACTAGTTGATCTCTTAGGATGAAATCTCACATTTTATTTAACATTAGCGGAAGCCTTGTACACTTGTTAAGATCTCAATATGCACACACATAATATACTGCCCAGTTCAGTTCTATATTCCTATTTTAAGAGCAGTTTCTTTCTCTGATAATAGGAGTAGATGAGCACCTTATGGAGAAAATCCTTAATCCATCTTATCTTGACAATGAGGCCAGTACTTTTAGTCAACTACATAGCATACTCAAGAACTCTGGAACTTCAGTGAGTGGTTGGGTCGGTGAGGCTGGAGGGGCTTATAACAGTGGACACAATCATATATCCAATGCTTTCGTTTATAGTTTCTGGTAATCGAGTTGAAATGCACAAGAAAATTTCAGGATTCTTTGTGTGAATTGTAATTTCTTTAGACCGAGTGATATTTTATTAAAAAGAAATCATCTTTAATAGGTACCTCGACCAGCTCGGGATGTCTGCATCGTATGACACAAAGACGTACTGCCGACAGTCACTGATTGGTGGAAACTATGGCTTGCTTAACACCACTACCTTTGTACCAAATCCAGATTACTACAGGTTTTCTATATTTACAACTTGTTTTGCATATATGCTTACTGCATTGTGCGCCAAATGGCTGGCCTTCTCTATACCTGATCATGTTTAGTTCTTCACTGCTTGACCTTGTGTGTTGCAATGCCTCTCCACAGTGCACTTCTTTGGCATCAGTTAATGGGAAGAAATGTTCTGGCAACAAGCTTTTCAGGGACAAAGAAAATACGTGCCTACGCTCATTGTGCAAAGCAATCTGTAAGTTCAATAAACAATTTACATATGCTGAGAAATCCCACAACGGTCAAATAAATGTGAAACAATGACTATAATATTACTTCAAGAGCTTCAATAAACAAAATTGACTGATAATTATTTTATGCACAAAAGAGAGTTTAATAACTAATTTAAAATAATAGTTCATTGTCTCTGCCCAGTCTCCGGAAAGTCAGAAACTGCAGTCACCAAACTGCTGCTGCAAGTTTGGGTGGTTAGAGACTTAGAGGGATAGGTGAGGCAGTGTCACTGCAAGTGAGAGGTTGGGGCATCTCATTTTAATATTTAAAGTGACACATTTAGTTACTTGTTTGGAATAATTTAAAAGTAGGCAGATTTTGACTTTTAGTTTTTGAAATAAGTATTTCCACACAAACCCCAAAATAATGATACTAACTCATATATATGACATTGGTCTGTTTCTCCTTTTGAGGATGGTTTTTTGGAATAAAACTTGAAGTCCTAATTTGGTCTATCTAGGATAACGCATTGAGATTCAACTCCATTAGATTGACCTTTTGAAATAGAATTCCAAATCTTAATTTAATCAAATAAAACTGCTTTTTTAATCTAAGATAGATTGATTGATCTTTATCTTCTTTTATAGCAAGGAATTACATTACTTCTGATCAACCTTGATGGCAACAATTCTGTGGTCGCTAGAGTTGAATACAACGAAACAAGTTCGAAGGGCCATGGGAGACACGGGCATCATAATCTTAGCAAGAGTTCATCTGAGATTTATGAAAAAGAAGCAACGACAAGAGAAGAGTATCATCTGACAGCCAAGAGTGGAGATTTGAATAGCCAAACTATGCTGTTGAATGGGAATGAATTAGGCGTAGATTCATCAGGGCAGATACCTGCTTTGCAGCCTAATGTTGTGAGCTCATCTGAGCCCATAACTGTGGGTCCCTTTTCCATTGTTTTTGCTCATATACCAAATGTGTCTCTCCCTGCTTGTTCTGCTTAGGACAGATGCAAAAGTGATTCCCAGCTTTACAGTTTGAATTTAGAAGCCACGAGTTTAAGTTTTGAGAGCGGCCTCTTGTCAAAATGACAAATGAAGGCTCGCCTCCTACACACACCTGGTACCTTCTTCCCGGACCCTCACCTAGCAGAGACACTAAGGTGCACCAAACTGTCCTTTTTAATACGTAGTAATATATAACAAATCAATTGTATTTCCTTTCTTAAATAAAAAACTTCTTTGTTTGTTTTTTAATTTAATTTCTTTGTAGCTTTTATATTCCTCTTATGTGGGATAGCCTTTTTTGTTTACTAAGAGCAAGAGCATAAGACGAACATCATCTCCATAAAAAACAAGCGCCATTCTTCCATTTCCCATATGAAAGAAAATATGAGATATATACACATTAGAAATTCTATCGTCCATTACAGCATTACCGCTTGACGGGCTTAATTGTCACGGGATATTGTTTACTAATTATTCCATCATTTTTAATGTAGTTAAAGACTTACTATTTTTTATTTGAGTATATCATGGAATAAAGAAAACTGACTCACTAAGTTGTCTGTGTTTCTTTGTTATGAATGAATTAAGCATTAGTCAGTTCATGTAATTTTCGATGTGATTTTCATAATTGATCATTTGAAAACAATTTCTATGTACTTTAGTAGAGGAGTAAGGATGCGTACTTCCGACTCCTCTTACCTCACCTTAGGTTAGGCATGGGCCGGGCCTGGACCGGTCATAACGGGGATAAAAAAAATGGCCCGAACCGGCCGGGTCGGTCCCTCTTTTTCCACACCGGTAGCCCGCCTTTACAGCCCCCCGGTTCGGGCCTAGTGGACCGGTCCCAGTCGGCGGGCCGGACCGGTGCTAAACAGTACCGGTTCAGGTTGGGCGCCGGGCCTGTCGAACCGATCCCAGTCCATCCTTACCTTAAGTGAGAGTCTTTGTAACAATGGGTAGTGTTGGATATTGTTTACTACTAATAATTAATCCATCCGTCCCATTTTGAGGTTTTTGGTTTAGTTTACATTGATTGACCAATAACAAAGTTAATTTTCCTTGGTAATATACGTAGTATATTAATATTAGTAATAATTAAAATCTACCTATTCAAAAATATGTTGAAAGTTTTATTGAATAAAACAATGAAGTATAATCTTTTATTATTGACAACGATTTGACAACGTGTTTGGTTTTTCATGGTGCACAAATTGAGATTTTTGGGAAATTGTACGAAAAAAAGTTGGCTGGTATGAACTTCACCACTATCAATGTTGATTACGCTTCTAATGAAGATCAAATGTCATTAGAGAAGCCAAGAAAATGGATTTTGCCTTAGTCACCGAGCAAGTTAATTCATTAATAAATTGTTAGTTTGATAGATGTGATTATCATGTTGTAGTAATGCACTAGAAATTTGCTATAGGTACCCCATAGTTACCCCATTCCCTACCCCATATAAATACTCTCCTTTTTTACCACCCTTTTACCCCTTTCCAAAACCCTCTCCCCTCCCCCACTTTTCTTCTCCTTCCCTCCCTCTCTCCTCCATCTTTTCTTTTCACGCAGCCCCCCATCCCCTCCCCTTTCTTTCTCTTTTCCCCAAATCTTGATTTATTCTCCATTTCAAGATCTCTCCCCATCAAGTCTTCTCATTTTTACAATCTTTTCTCCCTCCAAGCTTCTTCTCCGGCCTGCTTCTCTCCTCTTCTGCCTTTTTTTTTCGTTTCAAATGGAAGAGCTACAATAATCGGACGAAGGGGAGAGCTCGGTGATGTGGGGGGACAACGGAGAAAGTGCAGATCAAGAAGCTTTGAATGACTTGAGCAGATCTACTTTTCTTGATTTTTTCATTTTTTGGTGTGTTTTCGAAAAAAAAGGTTGTCTTTCCTGACAGACAACTTGTAAGTGCAGTGTCTGTATTTGTTAGTCTAGGAGAAGAGTATGTTGTTTTTCGTCATTTGTTTGTATTTTGTTTGGCGGACAGACAATTTGGAACTGCAGTGTCTGTCTAGCATAAAGTGAACGTGGTTTCATAGTTGCTTGAAGTGAACGTGGTTTTATAGTTGTTAGAGTAGTACATAAAATGTGTGTGCCTTTTTTTAAACATGGTTGGAAACATGGATGTATTGGTAATGTAGTTTTTATATATATGTGTGTGCCTTTTTTTTAAACATGGTTGTATCTATAATGTGAAGACAAATGTGGTGAATGAATTACATATGTAGTCTTTACAAGGAGAAGAGTAGGTTTTCCTGTTAGAATAAGGACTACTCTCTGTCGTACAGCCAGACAAATTTTGTCTTGGCCAGACATTAGTAGTCTGGGACAATTAACTACTCTCTGTCCTACAACCAGACAAATTTTGTCTTGGCCAGACATTGGTAGTCTGGGCCAATTAAGTACTCTTTGTCGTATAGCCAAACAAATTTTGTCTTGGCCAGACATTAGTAGTCTGGGCCACATTCTCCCGACTTGTAGACAGATAACTCAGTAGAAAGGCCAGACATTTTATATCTCATTACAGACAATTTGTTGCAATACATTGGTAGAGAAGTCAATTCCCATGACAGAAAACTACAACCCAATTTTAATGAATTCCAAACAACATGCAAGACAATTCAAATGGGTTGCCTGAGAACTAATTTTACCTGACAGACAACTACAAAACTATTTTCTACAATTTAAAATAAACTGACAGACAATTCAAATGTCTTGCCAGACAACTACTTTCACATGACAGACAACTACAAACCAATTTTAAACAATTGGATTTAACGTACCAGACAACTAATATGCCTTGCCAGACAACTACTTTCACATGACAGACAACTACAAACCAATTTTAAACAATTGGATTTAACGTACTAGACAACTAATATGCCTTGCCAGACAACTACTTTCACATGACATACAACTACAAACCAATTTTAAATAATTGGATTTAACGTACCAGACAACTAATATGCCTTGCCAGACAACCACTTTCACAAGACAGACAACTATAAACCAATTTTAAACAATTCAAAATAAATTGACAGACAACTCCAAACCAATTACATAATATTCAAAATACCATGACAAACATCTCAATATCATCACAAAATAGTCTAAATATACACAAGTACTTCATAATTTCACCAGACAGACAACTATTTTCACATTACAGACAAATCAAATGGAATGCCAGACAACTCTTTTCACTACAATTTGAAGCTAACAGATCTGAACCAAAGCTAACAGATCTGAACCATCACATGTATGTTTCGAAGTTATGATCGCTGGAATTTGAAGGTTTTGAACTGAAATTACAGGTTGGTGGAGAAGGTGTGGAAGGTTTTTAAATCTGGCCGGCACTGAAATTACTGGGACAACGGTCAGGTGTCGCCGGAGAAGATGACCGGCTTGCCGGGCATCAGTTCCGCCTGCCGTTACATAATCCGGCTACTGTTAGATCTCCGCTCCTGCTACCTTGCCGTTGCCGCTGGGGGTCGCCGAGGCCTGACGCCTGACGGGGGTTTGGGTGGTGTACGGCTAGGTTTTCCGACTTCCCACCGGAGCTGTTTGGGTGTTCGCCGGAACCAAACAGGGGGGCGGAAATGAAAGGGAGATGAAAGGGAGAGGGGCTGGCTGGAAAAGAGGGAGATGAAAGGGAGATAAGGGGGAAGGAAGATGAGGGAGTGGGGGTAAATTTTTGGGAGGGTATTTATATGGGGTAGGAAATGGGGTAAGTATGGGGTACCTATAGCAAATTTCAATGCACTAATGCATATAATAAACAAGCTATGCGTACTGTTTCATATACTTATTTTATGATTCATAAAAGAAGGAATCAGTTTTGCATGATCATAAAAGAACATGTTTTGGTGGGTAATAGTGATGGCTGATGGGTGTGGTATAAATAATGCAGACTTACTATTCCGTATTTATGTATTAAGATTTTGATTATATGTGGGTTACGTTATATTTCATGGTATGCAACCCACACAAACACATGACATAAATAAATGATGAAAGCAAGTAATTATGTAACTAATAATACCGTGACTTCTTGATTTTTGGAATAATATAAAAATGAAGTATCTGTTTTCTTTTAACTGCAACAATCCACTTTTCACGTTTATCAACAGACAAGTTTGACCATTAATATCTTTCATTCTTTATTAGTTAAAACATTTAAAAATTCAGATTTTGAAATTTTAAAAGGGAAGAATTTAACAATATTTTTTACAAACTCAATTTGTAATACACTAATAAACAAAATATAATCAAAGTAGAATATGTAAATAGTACAAAAAGTTCATTGTTGCAATTGAAAGAGAACTAATGTTATACTTCGTATGTAGTATAGCTAAATGAAATCAAAAGTGATTGAATGATTTGATTAGCTAATTTAATGTCCGACTAAACACTTTAAATTTGACACCTCTTCGAATCCCTTGCTTGAAAAATGTCTCATGATTCAATTGAAGGTGTTTTAAATTTAACATGTACGTAAAGTGCTTTGATTTTGGTGGATTTGTATGCAAAAATACCTCACCCCTATCCTCCGAAGACTAACTACTATGCTTGTAACTTAGTCTGCTAAAACGATGAAATAATTCAACATTCTAAATTAGAAGTGGTGGAGGATTATTCTTAATAAGTAACACTTTGTCACTTTGCAATGCTACGATTATTGGTAGGCTTTATTGAAAAATACCTATAGTGCCTTTACAAGATTCAAAGAAATTTAATGCTAACCAAAATTTAACTAGGGGAGATAATCGAGAAGCATTTGGGTGGAAGTGACTTTAAAAATTATGTGAATGTTCCATGCATTGAGTGACTCCATGTCTTAAATTATTGGTAATTTTTAATAATAAAAAATCTACAGTACCGTTACATAGTTAAAGAAAAAGTGAGAAGTATGATACGCAATTTAAAAATGAGGTGGCACAACTAAAATAGTGCCAATTGAGAATTATTTATATTAGAGTAGATAACCGCATGAGAAGCATTTCAATATACTGAGATAGACGTACTTTACAATTACAATAATGTATAGGACAGCTCCAAATAATGTATAGGATAGCTCCATGTAGTAAATGATTGTTTATCTTTACCAATGAATGCAAAGTATATACGAAGTGTGCGGTATTCTTTTGTTCCAGGACCAAACATTTAGGAGACGAGAACAACACCCCTGTGTAGGATGTTATCATGTGCACTCTTTTGATCATTTGGATTCTAATAATGTGGCTTTTGATACAGATTGCTTTTGTTTATCTTTTCTTATAGTCATGACCAATTGTTTATTACTACCTCCGTCCCACTATGTTTGGGACAAATGGGTGTGGCACAACTTTTAAGAAAAAATGGAATCGTGTGGTTGATATTGAATTGATAAGGTGTAAATAAAGTAAGAATGAATTTTAATCACCCAAATATTACCAAATGTGATATGAGACAAACTTAATAGGACGGGCGAAAAAGGTAAAATCGGACAAAGTTAGGAGAACGGAGGAAGTACTATATTGTTTATTCACCCGTTATCGCCTTATCGGTCACACTTGGTTGAAAAATTCTATACATGACAATGATTGTAATTAAATTTAATGTTTAAAATGGTATATATGTATAAGTTAGTGTTTCAAAGTTTGTAAATGTTTATTGTTTTTATCTGATCTTTTATGATTTGTTTTATTAAATTGAATTTAAGTTTTGTTTACTAGAGTCATATTAATTTTGAATGCTCAAATAAACACATTCACATATATTATTGGAAGAATATCTCGTGCATCGCACGTGTATTATACTAGTATATGAATTACAGATGCATATTGTACATTAATTATAAAATGATGACGTACAGATGCATATTGTACATTAATTATATTTGAAAGTGAGGGAGTATTAAAAGACACTTGAAAGTTTTAAAGTTGAAAATGCATTCACCTAATCCACACGAGTAGCTCAACGGTAACTGAGGTTGTCGAATTGAGGTCTCAGGTTCAATTCCCGACAGCAGTAGTGTGGGAGTTTTATCGCGTGTGGTGTCTCTTTGTGTGCACCAGGTCCTGATGAACCACTTCACTCAAACCGTTTGAGATCGTATCGTGACTTAATCCTCCACCATAGTGTCGGGTGGGGCGTCCCGAAAGTGCATTCATGCACGTTCATCGATACCAACAAGGCAACAATGAGATTGTGTTATCCTCCTTTATAAAATGATGATGATGATGTACGGATGCATTTAATAAGATTGAGACTAACTCAAATGCATGGATTAAGCAAGGATTCACTCTAGAAAATATCTTTGTTAGTAATATACGGTACGTGAATAATACAATAATACGTACGTTCGTGTATAATACGATACAATTATATAAAATACGGCTTATTATATGTTTCATACATTCGTGAAATATATAAAGATACAGACGCGTTTTAAACGTTTCACAATTTAAAAATACGGCATATAATATGTGTCTTACATACTTATTTAATGATAGAAATAAATAGTTTTTTTTTAACATTTGCACCACAATCTTCAACAATTTAAAATGTACGGAATAGTTTTTTTCAGATTTACGGATTAAATGCATAGGTACAATACGTAATAAAAATGACATTGCCTATTTAAGTAGAAGTGGAGAGATATTACTAGAAAATACAGTAGTGGTACAATAGAAATATCAAAACAGATTATGAATTTAAGAAGCTAATTCATTAAATGTAATGACCGTTAAACAATTAGCGAACATATAACGCATAACGTTTTTTAAGTAATATAAATAATATTGAGTAGCTTGACATGCATTTTGTTTGAGTTGAATCACTCCATTAGGCTTACGTTTAATGGTGTTTTTTTTAATAAAATACGTATCAATACGTACAGTACGTGTATTATACATTTTATCCTTAAAGTACGTGAGTTTTTCAGAATTTTCTGAAAAATTCATAAACAGGAGTATTATACGTAGTAAAATACGTATCAATACGTACGATACGTGTATTATACATTTTATTTTTAAAGTACGTGAATTTTTCAAAAAATTTTGAAAAATTCATAAACGGGGGTATTATACGTGAATTATACGTTCGAGTGTATTATACGCGAATTATACGCGAATAAACTAACAGAGGAAAATATAGTAACTTAAGTTCCATTTCACTAAAGT